CAGGATCCCAGTAGACATAAAACAAGTTAATGACAACTACCAGATAAATGTTTATAAAACCCCCTCTGTTTTAGGAAGCTAAAGTTTGGTCTTTTTCTAATGCTTTCCTCAAAATTTATTTCCTTCTCTTTCTTCTTCCTTCCTCTGTAAATAAGTTATTCTTCCTATGGAATTGACATTTAACTTAATTTAAAGATTATATTTAGGTTTTTAATTATTTTTAAATTTATTTCTATGGCCAAAGAACTAGAAGACCAAAGTGACAACTTTATAGGCCATTTCAAGGAAAAAATAACTAGCAACTGAGTATAAATGCTTACAAAGCAAACAAACATCAGGGAAGTAATCTTTGCCTATTGATTTAACTTTATAAATAATGCCACAAAGACACTTAACTCTCTGCATTAAACAACATCAGAAAGAAAAGATTATCAAAAATAGTAACAGAAAGAAGAATATCAATAAGGTTTCAAGCCTCTAGTTGATATGTAGTTTGCATGGGAAGCTGTGGATCATACTAAATGACAATCTTCATTGATATTTTTTCCCTACACTGTTGTAAATCATTAGACAACATTGCTATTAGTCTGATTCAGAACTTCTCAAAATGTGTTTCTTCCTCTAATTTGTAGCAGCAATTTCTAAATTCTGATTATTTTACACAAGTTCTGAGTTGCGTGATAGTCTTAATCATAGCAGATTTTACTTTCTCTTGAATCTCCTTGCAATATAGGAATCCAGACTTGATTTTCCTCCTTTAAATGACAAGGTATTTTAAAGAAAATTTTCATCCACAAAGATTCGACACTTTTCATTTAGTACTCCCAATTTCTCAACCTTAAACATAGTTGATGTTCACATTTCCAAAGTATCTGCCTGATAGTTCCACTTAGGTGAGAAATCATTATAATTTATTCCTTATGTTGCATACAGAAGCAAAACTCTGCAAAACGGCCATAGCCAGCTACCAGCTGAAAAAAACAGGAGTTGGTACTCTCCCCACCCTCTAGTGTTCTCCCAATCTATAGGTGCTTTAATCTCAGAGGATAGAAGAGTCTAACATGACTTCTCTGTCCTTAGTAACCCCCCGCTGGACTTCTGTTCCTTGGACTTCCATAGGCTTTCCTGGAAACTTTGCTCACAGCTTCTTTTGGCGGGAATTATTTGGCACTGTGCTTCCTGCCATGCAAGGATGCTTTTGTTAGTGCTCAGCCTGGTTTCATTCCTGGTTCCACTGGCTTCATTTGATATATGTACTTTAAAAGCCAAGACAAGGTGTAATATTTTGTGACAGTGCCCTGCAAGACATCAGGATTTTATTATTTCTAAGGAATGATTAATTTAAATGACTAATGGATGGAGAAGCAGACTTACCACAGCCTCCTGAGGACCACTACACTAGAAACAGATCATAGCACTAACAAGATAAACTTCATCACCAGACATATTTATTCACTCTCTAGATCCTTAGTGAACTAAAACCTCTTTGGGGGTACTCAATTAGTTATAATTAAGTTTAACTGATTACAACCAAAGCCCTTTGGGAGTTTTTTCATTTACTTTAATTATCTCCAACATAGTTCTCTATGTCTCTAAGATAATGCCTGAATTTCAACTTTTGTGATAACTCAT